GACTTAACGGCTGTTATACAGTGTCGCAGGATTCCCTGCTCCTAAGGTCTCCGCTAAACTGCTCTCGGCATCCCTTACTTTTTACTCACAGCAAGCAATTATGCTTGACTGAAAATCAAACTACTGCACACAAATCTCTCCACTAACCTAACACCCAATATACTGCGAAGCTATGTTGGCGAAGTCCAGAAGAATATTTAATGATTATGGTACAGCCCCTTTCCCTTTGGTGAGCTATGAGTAATCATGTTTGACTTCAGGTGCGAAGTGCAAAGAATCTATCCTACAACCCACTCTGTTTTTTAGCTCCGATCCAACATTATTGCGCCAGACATCTACACAACTGAAAAAAAATCGTTCTTCACCAACTGTCTTCTCTTGGTGGGTCATTTTTGAGACAATCCGACTGTTTTCCTTGCCGCCTCCCTGCCCATCGTGATTACGTCAAAGCCCACCAACACCACCAGCCTATAGCGTGGTCCGATCCCCGGCGCTGATTGGTTTCTTCTGACTCTGTCGCCTGATTGACCCATGGCTTCTGCAACAGTTCTCTGAGAGTTTTCGCGGGACTGTTAGTCAATAATGTCTACGTCTACCAGCATGGTGAGTGAGCCTGTCTGTGAGCCTGTACGCCAAAAACGTCGAGCTCGTGTCCGTCGTCGACTCTCCGCCCAGGCGGACAAACTCCTGCTGCTTCTGCATAGCCTTTTTCCCTGCGTGGTCTATGCCATCCTCATCTACCAGCAGTTCTATCACACAGCTGCTGCAAACAGTGTGCGGGCCGGCTACTGGGTTGGCGGCATGGGCATCTTCCTGCAGTTTGCACTTGTCTTCTGGCCAATTCTACCTCACAGCGAACTTTTGCTGCTCTCGTTTGCAGTAATCGAGGCCGTTTGCGCCCTGCTCGGCGGGACAATTACGCTGATCCAGGACAGCAAACAACGCTTCATCGGAGCCGTCTGCATCGCCAGTGTGGTCTTCACCATCCTGCCAATGTATCTGACTATCTCTACGCTGAAGCACGCTTCGAAGAGCAAGAAAGAGGAAGCAGAAAATGATGAAAAAGTGAGTAATTTCTCTTCTGGTTGGTCTCAGGAGTACAAGGAGGCAACCATTGTTGATGGGGATAAAGCACCAATCAGGCAGAGAGAAGACTTGGCTTTTTAGCCTAGAGGGAAGCTGTTTCTGTAAAAAGCTTGAGGAATCAGGTGATCCTCATCAAACAGTAGTTTTTGACCCGATTTGGAACTCTTTTTTATTTCAAAGTCTGCACTTTTTCGCTTTCTCAAATCAATGTTATTATCTCTGATCAAATAAATGATTCCCTTGAATGCCATCGCTTTTTATTCTGGTGAAAAGTATGTAGGAAATAAGAAGATATTGGCCGATAACTCTATCAAACAACACAGGTTCGGCCTCGAAGGTTCTCTTCATTACAGTTATTTCTGTGTTTGTCTTGGCGCATTAGTCACGTATAGAGTCAAAGAACGACGGTTGTACCTTTGGATCCAGAATCTTAGCAATAGTTGATCTATGAAAATTAAACCAAAATCAATTTTAGCACACTATACAGTACGGTTCAGAATTCGTGCAATATGCCGACATTTTCGAAAGATTGATACACACTCGCTAATCGGCATTGAGTAAGGTTGGAATACTGATTATCGTGGAGCCTATTCTCAAGTCATTTCAGTCACGATTTAAAGCCGGCTTTCTAACGAACTTTGTTCTGACCGCTAACAAAAACCATGTACTGCCCTTATACATTCAGATATATTTTGTGGAAAACCTGCACGAAATAATTCTTTCTTGTACTCGTTTGGTAGCACATTACGCCTTCTTTAAATTCTATAATTAAAGAAAGTGCATCCTTCAGTTTTAGAAACATTTCTAAATATGAGATTTTTTAAGATTTTGAGTTGTTCATTCGTAATATATCGTATCTGTATGCAGCTTGAGCCACAGCATATGGCAACATTTTATGGGAACTATGAGACTTTGTCCGCAAAACGTAGGCAAAGACCTCCTTTTCCTTAAACAGGATGTACACCGAGCGCAGTTTATCAACTTTGAATTCAGGCAATTTAGAAATATTTTTAAACCGAAAGGTACATTGTCTTTAAGTTGGAACTTTAAAAAATGCGTAATTTTCTACCGAACGACTGTAAGGAAGAATTTGTCCTACATGTGTTCCATAAAGTATAGTTGGACTCAAAAAGGTTATTACAATCAATGGAAAAAATGCCTAATATGTAAGTAGCCATTTTCTACAGTACATAATTTTTGTTAGCGGCCAGAAAGAAGCTCTCTAAAAAGCGGGTATCACCCGGAGACTGAAGTGACTGGAGAATGGGCTACAGGTTAAACAGTATTACAACCTTACTCAACGCTGATTAGTGGGTGAGTATCAATCATTCGCAAAAGTCGGCATGTTGCACGAATTCTGAGCCGTACTGTATACGTGATTGTTCAACAAGAGTGGCAATGGCTTGTACGGGCCCATCAACCTTTCATGTCCCTGCTTCAGATTGTCAGATAGTGCAGTCAGTTTTTGCAATTATGTGACCTCCAAGTTTAGCCCTCCATCGTATCATCGGTATATATATATATTCCATCGATCGAGTCGTCTTCTTCTCAATTACTTCCTGGGACTCGCCTGCTCGCTTGTATGTACTGGCATGTCAAGTATCTGCTGTTAACATAATTTTAGCTGGCAGGAAAATGTCTTGACCAATCAACGTTTGCATTCTAGATTAACGTACGTTCAACGTGCTTCCTCATCTCCTTCTAATTATGCCCGTCATTATGGATAAGAATACAAACCTTAACATTAAGATTGATAGTGTCTTTACTCTAGCTATCGACCAAACCAATAATAAGTGCTAGTACTGCCATGTTCGGTTGGGCATGAGATGCCGGACACACAAATGCTGGAACGTACCGGAATCCTTCGTGCCTTCACCATGACTGGCGAGTACCTACCCAGGCGCCTTTTCTACGGCGACGTCGTTATCGGGGGTCAGCCAACAAATCGGGGCAGCGGTTAGGCACGTTCATCAGAGTCGTTTAACATCAAAGAAGCCTTCGGCACCAAAAGAACGCCAGAGACCACTCCTACGTAAATGTTGTTATCGTGGACCGCCGACGGCCGGACATTCTCAGTGGAAGTTTCCAACTAGCGCGTTAACTACTTAACTCGGTTGTTGACTGCCAGGCGCTCACTGCAGGCATTGGTTAAGGGTGAGATAAGTGATCTGTCGTTGTGCTATTCCGAACCCGTTCAGAGTACATTGTTCGGTAGGAGTACCTCGTGGGGCCGCCTGGGGAACGCGCGAAGCGCGCC